GTTGTGGGGGGAGAGTAGAAAGAGCAGTGACTTGTAGGGGGGTATTTGGATTTTCCCCATGAATCAATTACCAGAACGCCTCAGGCGATAGCTTCTTCCTCCTTGCTGCTGCTTCCCCTCTCAATTCCTATTCTCTAGTCCCAATCTCCTGCTTCCTCTTGTCTAATCTCTCTTCCCAGACTATACCTCTCTTTCTCCTCAATTTTGTATCCCTAAACACTTATATTCTTGAGTGGATTGCAATATATCGGTGGCATTTGTGTGAGAGATTTGGTGTGATTGTGTTGGTTCGTGACAATATGGTATCAGAGTAGTCGATTCGTGGGGTTTCTGGTGTGGAGATGAAGTGGGAGAGCGCTGGTGGTCAGAGGAACTGCCAGCAACTTGGTGGTGGTGTCTTTGGAGGAGATGCCCACCACCTGTTCGATGAAATATCGTCCTGTCCAAGAGGCGACTCAGCTGCTGTCCTTCACGTCACCGTGAGCCAGATCATATATCCAGTGACATATGAGGTGTTGCATCAAGTGTACGATACCTATGGAGCAGTGGCGGTGCAGGTTCTTGCAGTGAGCACATGGCAAGTCAAGGCTCTTGTGTCATTTATGTCCAGCCATGACGCGGAGAGGGCTCGGTCCGCCACCCACGGTCGCGACATCTACGATGGGGGCTGCTTACTGGATGTGCAGCACGTCTAGATGTTCCCTGGAGATGGCGCCACCGCCACGCACACCACCTGTTTGACAATGGTACCAAGTAGCGCCACCGCCAGGCCAGCGGCCAAGAGTATTGCTGCTGCACTAGAACGCGTGTTCCCTGCTACAACAGCTTCATCTGTACCCTCAATTACATCAGCAGCCATGGTGACATCGGTTCCTTTCAACGAGACCAAGAAGGCTGAGACTGACATGGACAAGGCGGTGGAGAACTTAGACAAGACCTGTGCACCAAGATCGATCGGATGCTGGAGGCATTTCGCCACACCAAGGTGGATTTATCCTTGAGCAAGGATTCCACTAGAGATGTGGCAGCGTTGAGTGCCAACACTGATCCAACTTCCATCGCATTGGAGGTCAGTACAGAGGCCGGCTCAACTAACCATGTTGACACAGCCAAGCTTGGCATGGGAACAACCATCGAGTGTTCAATGAAGTGTGAGAACCAGTTGGCTGATGATGATGGTGGCAAAGACATGGCCAAGGAGGAGTGGATGGAGCTCATGGAAGTGGATACCAAGTTCACCACTATGTATTTATGCTTCAGAGATCCATTGTTAATCATCAATGCAATTCCTCCCAGGAACTGGAGTTGGTGCTTGAGCCGTGACTACTTTGGAGTTGTCTGCCTCTCTTTCGTTTCATTGAAATTGCAAGTACTCTATGGTTGCTTTGACCGGAGCTCAGAATACACAGCTAGCCCTCCACCAGTACCACCTTGGAGAGCAGCAATTCCATGGAACAAAGCTGAGATGACCTCAGGTTCTCGGCCTTTACCATGGCCTGATCCACAGCTTTGTCAAGGCAGCGGAGGCATGGTGGTAAAGCTCTTACAACCCTGGCCGCCACTTATTCAAACAAGTGTTCAAACTGAAATTGAAACACTGAATTTATATGGTGAGTCTCATCAAGTCTCCTTGAACTACAGCGTTGCCCAATTCATGAGTAGAACAATTAATTCCACTGAGGGCTTGCTGCAAAATCTGATTGTTGGATAGTGTATTTGGTATGAGATATGTCTCTCTGGTGCCTTTAGGAAGGCCTATCAACACACACATCATTCAACCTATGGTTGGGCATATGGGGATCATGAATTGTTCTTGCTGCTCATGCTGATTTCCCATCCATCACCCGATGCATGGTGTGATTGTTTGTTCAGTGGAGCTAATGTTGATGGTAATTGCACTTGCAAGTCACATGAGAGACGTACCCATCGCCATGCTCAGTGCTACACTATTCCAATTTCATTTCAGGTTCAGAGTAACAACAATGATGTACTAGATGATACTTCTTGGACTCAATTCGGATCAAACAATGGTGAGGCATTTAGGGTTTCAACAAGAAAGTTGGTCAACTTGTAACCTTGGCCTCCTCCTTCGCAATGGAGGAGTGAGGTATTCAGTTTGTGTGCAGCAGGAGGGCAAGGGCTCAATTTTTCTTGGAAGTGTATATCTGAAGGGAAACTAATGTTATGGACAAATGTGAAAGTTATTAGAAGAGAATATACAAACAAGGTGTTATGGCTGTCAGTTGCCAATTCTTGGGATTTAATATGGGCAGTGCTACAACAGTTGCTATGTACATCTGAGCTTATTCTTCAATGGAATCAACATGGGCAGACACATGAGCTATTGTTACAAAGGGAGCAGCTAAAACTTGGTGCAGTCCATCTCAGTTTGGAAGCTAGCACTTTCAGTAAGAATTCTCGTGGAATAGAACTGGTTAAATGTTCAGAGAGATGCCTCATTTGTTTAGTTTGTGAGGACAACATAGTCTTGCACACATGGGCCTATCGAGTGGTTAAATTAGTTGCTGCAAGATTGGTTGGTGATCAAGGTAAAACCATACAATTTTTAGCAATCTGGGAGTTTGCAAACAAAGAAGTAGCTCTCATTCAGACAAAGAAGCATATGCATGTTTCTCAGTCCACTGATCTCAATATTTGCATGTTACATCTAGGCTCTCATGGAGTATATGCTGATAGTAGTGGTGAAGAAGGCGTGAAGGCTTGGTGGTTGAGGCAGCAAAAGCATGGTAGAGAGTGTGGTTGTAATGCTCAGGTTTTATGTATGCTGGATAAGTGGATTCAACAGTGGGCAGGGTCTACATCAGATGGTTCGAAGGTCATCAAACAATTGTTCTGGGATTCTGCCCAACAAGACATTTCCCTGCAGGTACCCTAGGATCTTGGGGGCATTAATCTGGCGAGTCAGTTGCATCGGCTTGGGGACAAGCCGATTCTTAACGGGGGAAGAATGTCATGTACATGGGCTGTTGTGATGTCCTTCCAGGAGGCTAGACAAGTGGGCTGGCTTTGGGCCCATTCAGCTAGGGAGAAGGAGACTAGAAAAGAGGCAAAGCAGCCAGCAGCTAGGGTCATCGATGAATCAATTACCAGAACGCCTCAGGCGACAGCTTCTTCCTCCTTGCTGCTGCTTCCCCTCTCAATTCCTATTCTCTAGTCCCAATCTCCTGCTTCCTCTTGTCTGATCTCTCTTCCCAAACTATACCTCTCTTTCTCCTCAATTTTGTATCCCTAAACACTTGTATTCTTAGTGGATTGCAATATATCGGTGGCATTTGTGTGAGAGATTTGGTGTGATTGTGTTGGTTCGTGACAGTGGACGAGCGAGCCAGGATCGGCGCGTGCAAATTGCACCTCCGAGCCAGGTCGGAGCTACTCCACCAGGCCCGGCCCATGTGCGGGTGCGGGCCGAGCGGGTGCAGCGACACCCAGTTAGAGGTGTCGAGGCAAGGTGTGTGTGCAGTGTGCTCTCGAGGTTGAGGGGTGTCGTCGTTGCTACCGTCTTCCTCTTCTCACCATTGCTGGTGGTCCTCCTCGCCACCCTTTGCCTTCCTTCATGCTGACGTCCCAGATCCGATGGGCTTGAGTTCTACCAAAGACCGATGATTGCGGTAGAGTTCTACCAAAGACCGATGATTGCAGTGAACGTACATACGGCGGGGTGCAAGAGGGCAGAAAGATATGCCTCGAGCTGCCAGATCCCGCCGTCCTCTTCTTCTAACTTAGAGGTGCTTACATATCATCCCAAACTTTTTTTAATCCACTATAATTTAACATACAAAATTCAAATCTATCAATAGGTTTGGGATATATATAGAGCCGCACCAAACATGGCCCTATATTAAAATATAAGAAAAAACACTAAACCAGTACATTGGAGGTGTATTTATGCCATAATTGGCACTATATATACCAAAAGAAAATATAAAGACAATTTTTCCATGTGTTGTTATGCTAGTCTCTACGCAGCAAACGGTAGGAGACCAGCTTTGAGTATACTTGACTACCCTTCTCCACGTACTATCATTGGCGGATCCACTGTTGGGGCTCGTTGGGTGTTAGCCCCACCTCGAATCCCTATCCCTAATTAGTCATTTATAAGTCTAATTAGATATTAATGAAAAAAACTGTCGTCATGATCGAACCAGGAGGAGGGAGGAAACGAGAGCGTCAACGGGGGTACCCCGAAATCGCCAGCGTTCCCCATCGGCCCACATCCCCCAAGGTCAATGCTGCCCGGGAGACCGCCACATCAGTTGCGTCAGGCTCGTCACCATGTTCGCCTCTACAATTTTTGTTCGATTTGAGGATGCGATGAGTAGATGACTGCAGCGAAGAAATGGTGACGGTGTTCTGCTCCGACTTGGTACCTGAATGCGAAAGTACAAATTTGTCATCCCACCATCAACAGCATTCGAAACCTGCTTTTTCGAGAGATGCAGTACCGCCAGCGCCAAGTACCAAGCCTTCCCAGGCCATTAGATTAAGTGGAATGGATGGCTAGCATATGGTACCTCCTCCATTCAAGAACTGACCTCTTTTTGGGCTTACCATATCCTCTATATTCTCGGTTTAGTTGTGATTGAAAACATCGTCGGCTCCAACAGACCAACACATAGGCCTCTTCAATGGAAAATGCGTACTCCCCAAGACAAACTATTTGTGCATGGTTCTATACCTCAAGTGTAAAAAAATTACACCATTTAACATTCAGGAAACATGCTCGCAACTAACAAGAAATGAGGGAGTAGCCAATCCGAGAATCACTTTAAAACATAGCCAAAGTCTTGGACGTAATTTGTAAAACATGAGGAGCATGGCCTTCCGTGTGCCAAAGAGAGAAGGAAAAAAAATGTGGAGACGGGTTACACCAGTTTTCTTTTCTCGAGAGAAGGGTTTGCTTATTTCCCCACGGACTAATTTGGAGCCAAACAATCAACATTTCCTTATCACTATAATGTTCTGACTTGTGAATTCTAGAAGTCTCAATATAGACCTAAAGTCTTAAAGATGCCAACTCATCGAACAATACCAGTCGCTCAGACAAACTCTCGTCAGCACAGCCTTCCTGTACTAATCACGTACAAATTCTTTACAGCCACATTAGAGGTATATATATATACCTCTCAAGTCTCAATACAGTAAACATATAAACCATTCTACACAGAATTTTCCTCGAGTTTGTTCAGCTAGTCTGTATGAAGTAGCCGGTAAGGAGACCAGCTCTGAATATACCCAATTACCCTCCTCCACAGGCTCTCACCTGAACCTGAAGATGCAGCAGCGGCAGCAGCTCTTCTCCTAGCTTCCGCTTCCGCTCTTCTCCTGGCTGCCGTCGCCGGGAAGTGAGGAACGGCCGGCGGCGTCCTGCCGACGACGGCGTTGGGCGGGTAGTGCGAGACGACGGGCGCCGAGGAAAACTCCCGCGTCCACGCCCTGGCCTCCGCCTCGTACCGCTCGTAGTCGTACGCGTACTGCTCGGCGATGTCGTAGTTGATCGGGTAGTCGAGCAGCGGGTCGTAGAGCACGGAGACGAAGCCGATGAGGAGGCCGCGGAGCTTGGTGGCGCAGCTCCAGCTCTCGGCGTCCAGCACCATGTTCCCTTCCTCGTCGATGTTGGGATGGTATACCTGCGGTTGCAGAGACAAGCACTCAAATTCGATCCATGCAATTTTTTTTGAAAGAGCAAGTTTCGTAAAACTAAAACCCAATTATCATCGTCCAAGTTACACAAAACCATAAACATTTTGACACATGACACATAAACCCAAAATACTATGTTTTTAAAGTTTTATAAAATCACATAGTTAACCATTTTGACATACTTCTATATTAAAATTTTAAAAAGCCAGGTGTAACAATTATACAATGGATAAAATCCTTATAAATTTGAGATGTAATTGTAGAATTAAAAAGTGTGGTAGATCAAAGTTAAAATGATCAATACCGTGGTTTCGTGAAACTTCAGAATAATAATATACGGGGTTACGTGCCTTACGTCAAAACCTTTATAATTTTATGCAATTTAAACCATATAACAGATGAGGTTTTAAGACATTTGCATCACGCAAAACGGATCGGAGGAACAAGCAGAGATGCAGACGAGCGTGCGCTTACCAGAGTCTTGAAGGTGACCTTGGGGTGGACGAAGGGGTAGCCGGCGGCGGGGAGCTGGATGTCGACGGGGAACGTGCCGCCGGCGTAGGGGGTGCCGGCGGGGCCGTCGATGACCACCTCCCAGTGGAAGGGGTCCGTCACGGGCTCCGGCCCGGGCCGCAAGTACGGCGGCGGGTCACGCCAGAGCAGCCTCAGCTCGTTGCGGATGATCCTGAGCGCTGTCTTCCGCTCCTCATCCTGCCGTCTGGCCGCCGCCGTGGACAGCTCCGGCTGCGGCTCCGGCTCCGGCACCGGCGCCGTCGCCATGGCCGGCGATTCGCTGGTCATTGTTGCCACCTCGCGAGCACTTGCGTAATGCACGTCGGCCCTAGCCTCTCTGCCGCTTCGTGCAGTCGTACGTGCTACTCGGTGTGGCTTGAGAGAGAGAGATCGGGGGTTCATGAGATCCACGGGGAGACATCGTTATATAGTAGAGATGACGATCGTTCTAATCGTATTCGGATTCGGATACGTAGTGGCGAGTTCGAAACTTCGAATCGGATAATCTGTTTTTGGTTTGGGTTTACCTCTTTTCCAACGGAAAATTACGTATTCGGAGAACAGAAGGCGTCATATTGGATTGTCATCTTTTAAAATGGTAATGGAGTATTCGAAGATAAGGCGCATACCGATTTTACGACTAATTGTCATATTGTATCGACATTTTCTTTAAAAAAAATAAAATTCATTCCGGCCTACTCATCCGGAGAGATCTCCCTGATGGACTACAAGACTGCAATACGAATAGCACGCAGATAGTCAAAACATAAACAAGATACCGCCACTCTAGCCAAACCAGCTAAAAGGAATGAACCTTTGCACGATCACATCCGAAGCGAAGGCAAGCACAAAGCACAGGCACAGGCGCACAGCTTCCACCCAGAAAACACCAAGAAACTTGGCTTCGGTTGATAGATAGACAGATGATGCAGTTCCGGTTACAGCATCATCGATCTTAAGGTTCACATCACATTTCTCACTGCAACCTAACACATGATTTGGCGCACTACCCTGGTACAGGCTATAGGCATCTCTGTACATTCTTTATATACACATACAGAAGGGTACAAGTTTTATTAATTGAATTATCGGGTAAACGACTTCAAATTCTGATTTGGGATACCTAATGTATGATGACAAGATTCAGCACAGGGTGCACAGCTGAGGCACAGCGCGCCCAACGTCTGCTTTGTGTTCCTCACCTCAACACAGCGAGTCAAGATACGAGTGATTATACAGACGGCCAAACTGGAGGAGGCTGCCGTATGTTCTATCCCACACACCGACAAAAAGCATGTCGGTGTCCGGGCTGAAAGACATGCCAGATATCTCACCAAAGAAGTCCAGCTCTTGCCTTCTGGTGTAATCACTCCCGACATCGAAGACGTGGACAAAGTCCGCTGGTTCTGCCATCGACATGAACTGCCCATCTGACGTGAAGCGGATTGATCTTATGGCTCCAAGGTTACCCCTCAAAACATGGAGGGATTTAGAGAGATTCCGCGCATCCCAAATCCGGCATGTCTTATCTTGGTTGCCAGTAGCAAATGTTCTGCCATCTGGGCTCCAAGCTGATGCAAACGAGTAATCAAAGTGACCTTTCAAGGAATGAAGAGTCTGCACAGGGAAACAAAGTAACCAGTTATCATGCATGCCATACTTCAATGTCACATAATTTTCTATCACAGCTTGGTTATCATATATATGTGACGTTTTATGCCCAGGTTTGCGTGTGTGCTGGCATACCTTTCCTGAATTGGCGTCAATTAGTAAACCATTAGGATCATCCCCCACAATAACAGCAAGCTTTCTGTCAGGACTCAATGCTGTATGCTGCATCACCAAAATAACAATGAATTGTGAGACCAGAGTACAGAAACTAAAACATCCAAAGCATTCCATTGGTTTTGATCTCCGTATACTGATGTTGGATCTATTTGTTAACAACACATTTAAAAGGCAGTGCACAATTATGTTTTCATGAGAAAAAGGAAATCAAAAGGTTTTATCTTGAAGAGTCATTATTCGACACCATGAAGAAAGAAGTACAGAACCACATAAAGCGAAACTATGGCAATGTGAAATTATGAATGTCTACACAATCATACATGCATACCCTAATTATAGTAGGTTTACCAAAAGCAAGGTGTCACAAATAAACAAAAAAGACTTACATTCACTGGCCATTCAAACTGAAAATGCTTGTAGAGCTGAAACCTCTCCATATCATAGTCTCTTACACCAGAGTCATTATTCGATGCCATGAAGTGAACAGCACCACTGGGGATAAAACAGTATTAATACAGATGCAAGTTCAAAAAGGTCACATCTAATGAACTTTATAACAGAACAAGGCAATTACCTGGTAGTATTGAATATCTCAACAGCATTAGTAATAGCGTTTTCATCATATGTAGTTCGACAGCAAAAGCTAATTCCTTCTCGATCAAGGTGCTGCATTTCCCATCAACAAAGAATTAAGAAAATTTTAAAAAGGATAAACCCAGACAGTTCATATGCAGATTAAGGCTGAGTTCGGCACTTCATCTTCCCAACCCACCTCTCTCGTTTTCCACGCGCACGCTTTTCAAACTACTTAACAGTGTGTTTTTCGCAAAATTTTTGTATACGAAAGTTGCTTTAAAAATCATATTGATCCATTTTTCAAAAAAAAATAGCTAATATTTAATTAATTACGTGATAATAGACCGCTCTGTTTTGCGTGCAAGAGGGATAGGTTCCCATCCTGCACTGCCGAACACAACCTAAGAATGTAATAAGATGCACATCATGAATTGTTTGGTTATTTTCCAGTAAAATCTGCATAAAATAGTATCCGAGTCGCAAAATCAGTGGATACAGGAGCGGAACTGGGCCTAGGGCAGCTTGGACCCAAGCCCTACTTGTGAAAAAAAATTTAGTGGACTAGTACCTACATATTTTTCAGATTTTCCCAAATTCTATAGCCCAGCCCCACACATGGCCTGTTTCAGCCCCCACATCTCTCAGCCCAACAACCAGCCCATCACAGCCCAATAGAAGCCAACCCTAATCCCACCTCCTCTCTCTCGCGCATCACACCGCATCACCGAGCGCCGCATCTGTTTCTGTTCGCGTTCTTTCTCTTCTCACGCTCTCAGCTCTCCGCCTCTCCTTGTCTGCCACATCACCGACGGCGACTGGCGACTGCGCACGGCGGCACGGCGGCGGGCGGCGACAAGCACTAGTGTCGGCGGGGCAGCGGCGCGCATCCGCGGACGGGAGGCGCATATCAGCAGCAGGCAGTGCGCAGGGGGGCAGCAGCAGCAGCGAGCCAGGGAGGGGATCGGCCATGGCTCCGGCGCAGTCGCATACGCATCGGCGGCAAGGTGGTGACGGCGGGTCAGAGCCTTTGAGGCAAGAGCGCCCCCTTTCTCAGCCACTTCTCCACAAAGTTTGATTCCCGTTTCCCCAAATCAAGATCAGTGTCCTCTCTACTCATCGATTTTGCAAGTTTATTTTGCATTTGGTAGCAGTTAGTCAATTAGAAATTGGTTTGATTTGCTAGATGAAGAGGAGCAGCACTTTAAAATCATTCTACCAAGTCCAGTCCAGTGAGTCCACTCCAACCCCAGAAACAGAAGAAATTGATGAATTTACCCCAACCAGAAGATACTGTTGGAATATAAAGTGAATTGCCCGCCTTTCCTCATTAGCTTAAGCTTTTGGGCTGAACTGGTCGGTGCATGCAACACAATATGGTATTAGAGCCAGAGGTCTCGAGTTCGAATCTTGGCTGGCGCACCCACTTCTATTCCACGCTAGAGGCTTGAGGGGGCCTCGCGTGAAGGGGAGTGTTGGAATATAAAGTGAATTGCCCGCCTTTCCTCATCAGCTTAAGCTTTTGGGTTGAATAGATACGTCGCGTTAGGTAGGGGTGAAAACGGTACGGAAACTTTCCAGATTCCAGACCTATTTTCGAAAACGGAATCTGTCGGTCGGAATTTTTTGGAAACAGAAACAAATTCGAAAATATTTTCTCGGAAACAGAATTGGAAATGATAAGGGCAATTTTCGTCGGAACTCGGAATCGGTCGGAAACTTTCAAGATTTCCTCGGAATTTCTAGAAATTGTGACTGAAATATCCTGGATTCTTTTTTTAAGCACTGAATAGTGAATACCATGGTGTTTGGCTGTTATTTTTTAAAAAAATATTTGTTATGCAAATCTGAAGTTACATAAGAATATTTTTTCCTGCATTGAGATTTATCAACAGCATTACTCTCTTAAACATAGTTAATTTATTCCATAGATTGTGTTTTGTGATGTACTGTTGAGACTTAAGAATTGGAGTTATATGATTGTGTTTTATGATGAATTGTTGACCGTTGAGACTTGAGAATAGGATTTATCAATTTGAGGGGTTTTTGTATTCCGATAAATTTTCGTTACTGTATTTGCGCCGGTTCGTTTTCGCTTTGTTTTCGGTTTCGATAATATTCGATTCCGTTTCATATCCAAGGTTTCCGATTCCGATTCCAATTCCCAAAAAAATATGAAGACGAAAACAATAAAGGTGGTTTCCGTCTGTTTCCGTACCGTTTTCACCCCTAGTGTTAGGTACTCAACAAAATCTTAGTCTAGTCTTGTACTTTTTCTACACTTTTATTGTACTTCGGTGCATATTTAGAAATTGTATTCCAGTCTTGCATTTTTTTTCATAATTGTACTGTACTTCCTTGTACGAATTGACATGGATAGTTGTTAGCCTTCAATTTGAGCCCTAGGCGTGTCAAGATCCTGGCTCCGCCACTTAGTGGATATGTTGATCCACCATACACATGTTACTTCAGCATTCTAAATCTCATAAGGACCAATTCCAGCGGTGCTCACCTATGATATTTATGCAAGCGAGCATCACCAAACTCCAAAATAACATAAACTGTTTAATCGCCATAGAGCTAGAATATATGCCGGTTGCTCGAAGCTACACAGCTATGGCTATATGGATTGATTCAAAGGAACCAGAATCAATTCAAATAATTTACCTTGCAGATTAGCTCTCCTTGAAACCCACCAGCTACCAGCAAATTGTCCTTGACTGACAAGGTACTAACTTGGGTCCCAGAAAAACCCTCAAGTAAACTTCCAGGGTGCTTCTGTAATAAGAAAAACATGAAACATCAATACTAATACATAAAACTTAGAAGCAGAGTAAATAAAAATTGATGGAACAAAGAAAAAGAAGGTACCATACCTCCCTGGGTGCCACATGTCCTTGGACATTCATAAGCTCGGTATCAAGACCACTCAGTGCCGACCAATGAAGAACAGAGAAATGTGACATTAAATAGACATCGTGCTTGGATGTCGCCCATACTAAATTTCTCAGCTGCGGGAAAAGTTAGGTCAATTGTTTCATAATCTCTGCAATTGTGAATCATATCATATAAAAAAGAGGGGCATCAATCAAGAACTAATAATCATCAGAGACATAGAAACATCTTCATCGACCAATTTACAAGTGATTCTAAGAACTACAAAACAAGGACCAGCAGAAATCCCTGAATATGCTAAGCCATTGAAAGATGAATAGTTTATCAAGAAAGGCAGTGCATAGATACATTAGTCATAGTGAAATAAAAATCAACAGGCCCCAAATTTTTCACAATTGAATAAGAAGATGACATCGGTTCTTTTTACAGCAAACGCATCTCAACATGTATACAAGTCTTTTTAACTCGAAAGCAGCAAAATAGTTCCCTGCAGTTAATTGTAACACACTAATACAAAGTACAAAGTTGATAAACTAATACAGCCAAATGAATTGATACAAAAAAAGTCCTCTATTTGGAAGATTATCAAATCAATAAAGATGCACTTTGTTTTAATATTCAAAAGATATTGTACAGGAATATTATAAAGGAAATAGATATGATTTTGACACTTAAACGAGCCTGAAGCTAATTTGGTTAATGAAATGTAAAAACATTATCTTATGAAGTTATGATGGAACGCTCGGAATCTAAATACTACCAACTAGTGCGATATCTAATCAATTATTTCTGATAATAGTGGTGGAATATTATCTTGAAGGGGAAGTAAAAGATGTAAAAGTGAGCCCACCTGAAAATGTAGTATAGTTGATTTTACTGATCTAGTATTTCGCCTAAATTCATAATACATCCCGCCTTTTTCAGTCGGTTTGCATTCCTGTACACAAGTGTCAACTGTCAAGCACAAACACAGACAGTTCTACACAGTGAGCTTTCAAAAGGACGCACCTTTGCGGCTGCTTCTCCAGAATTAGGCATGTTCTCATAATTCTTGTACTGATCTAATCTGGTCTGTCTGTATTTATCACGTGTGATCGCTAGCTTCTCCCATGGTATTCCTTGAATATCCTTTCCTTTTCTTGCATCAACTGATGAGGTATCTGGGATCTTATCATTCTACACAGGAAGGAAAAACAACAATTTAGAGCATTGCAGTGTGGTATATTTAATAAGAACAATGATCAAATTGCTACTATATCAAGAAAACCATACATGTAGAAACTCTAGTATTGGTAAAGTTGAAGATTACTATTATTAAGAAAATACACAATTTGTTCTTTATCAAGACATAGCATTTGCATAGCAGGAAACTAGAACTAAACATGTGGCAGGAATTCTTATGTATTCTTACAGAGTAATACTACTCCCTCCATCCAATTTTGATCAACACATACTGTTGTTGCACGAGACAAAGGAGAACCAAATCAATCCGTAAACAACAGACAGCTTATAAGGCTCATGATTCTCAACAGACAACAGTACACACATGCAGTTAGTATTGTCGTTAATTGGACTCGGATAGCTCTCTAAACAGGAGGATCTGTAATAAGTATCTCGCCCAATTGCACAAATGTTCACTCATCTTACGCTCCTCGTCATCATCAGTGAATAGTGTTCCAACAAACAAAAAAAGAACTTCACAAAAAATAATGTTGCGAAAACTTGATTACACATGCAATGAATCAACAAAGAGAGAAGATTGGACATACCGACTGGCCATGCTCTTCATCCTCTGAATCCGAATCCCTCATCCCTCGCTCATAGTTCTCTTCGCCCATGTCATCAGCAGTGTCGTCCATGTCATAATCATCCTCCATCTCTTCAATGTGGTCTTCGTGATAATTGGACATTGATCCTCACGTGAAGATAAACGTCCCCCGCCTGCAAACAGAGCACAACCATCAGAAACCAGAGTCTCAATCAAAACCAATTGCACATCAAGCAACCAAGCATTTCTAGGCACTCCTAGGTCAATCAACAATTTGCAGCGGTTGCCATGACCACACCAAATACTAGAAGCTCTCCTAAGCAGTGAGAATAACTGAATAAGACAGACCACAATTCCAATTTGACTTCCTATATGGTCTGCAGGAGGTCAATCAAAAAAGAAAAAATTACCCAATCAGAGATCCAACTGATCCCCATGCCTGTATTGCAAATACGCCCCAAAGAACTAGTAGTTCCTACCACGGAGAAATGAAATCCAACAGAAAAATTAGACCAACTGCTCAAGGCAGACCTAACGATGGCCATGGGGATTCACCCGAACCCCCAAAAATTTGTCCAACACAACCTTCTACCGGTATTAAACCACGCACCAGCGAAATCCAGAACAAAATGGATGGTTAATTGGAGGAAATCCGGACGGATTTAGCCGGCCCACATCAAGCGGGACGCGGGGGAGGAAGGCGGCGGGCAACGAGAGGGGAACGAGGGTACCTTCAATTCGATCCGCACGGCGACGGATTCGGGGTGTAAGGAGGCCGGCCCGCCTCGCCCCTCTCGCCCGGCCGCGCGCGCGACTACGCCGACGACGCCTCACAGGGGGGAGGAGGCTCGAGCGGAGGCGAGGGGAAGGGGAGGAGGAGGCCGCCCACCACCGTGCCCTCGGGGCGCCCTCTCGCCGGCGGCGCGGGCGAAGCTGCAGATCGATGGGCGGCGATGGCAGATCGGCCCAGAGGGTAAAGGTGAGGCCGTGGCCGTGGGAGAACGAACGGAACAGAGAGAAGATGGAGGAAGGGGGCAACTTGGTCATTGGCTATTATTTTTCCCAGTTTAGTTTATTTGAAATTAAATTGAATATTTCTCACACTTGAAAACGAGAATTCTGTTCAAAAACTGCGACTTATTATACGGTGGTAACTGAAATTATCGTAAACTTAGCTTTTAATGATCATAGTAGATATTGACGCGTTGTGGCGGGACTTTAAAATTTTTTAACTGGATCGATATATCATAGATGCTTTGATCCAATAGTTAAGGGTTGACTGAACATATAAAAATAGAGGATATATATGTTTCGTTAAACTGAAATAGAGGGTACGTGGGTTTCGCTAATCTAATTTTAGTAGGGTACTCTCTCTATCTAAGAAATGATGTACATATAACTTGTTTTTCTTATCCACGTGTAATCCCCGTATCCTCTACTTGATGCATGTGTCTGTTTGGGATGACACCCATTGAATGACTTCACTACATGCATGCACAACGATGGCGTGAGGTGATACACAGGATTTGGTGCGATGGGCGGTGATGGCGATTTGGAGTAACTAACTCACGGCATTGCACCATATATTGTGCGTCTATGCCACAGAAGACATTGGGACTGTATTTGTATTTGATGTGGGTTAAATTGTAAATGGGAGAGATTTTGTTCTCTTTGGTCTCAATGCCCAAACGAAATACACCAGTCAAATAAGCAGTATTGTTGGTCTTAAATTCTAAAAGGAGAAGAACCCTTGATAGCCATGGAGAAGCTTTGATATAGAGATAAAGCGAACAATTTTGTGACATTTTCTGAACTTGCAAATATACAAATTGCTGCAACCTATAACATTAAAAACTGGAGTTATCATTCCAAATTTCTAACACTAATATAACTTAACTTTAACATCATAATATATATAGCCAAAGTCTAAAAAAAAATGAATTATTCCTTGTTAACATATAGATTGTCGCCACTATTATGCATCTTCTATACAATTTATATATTAATGTAAAAATTAATAAGAAAATATGGTTGGGGATAATAGTGGAGCCACATGGATAATTTTGAGTTACTCAATCAGTGTTGTCTACATGTAGGTCTTTAGTCCTCAATTACAATGTGTTATGTTATTTTAAGTATGTTTTCTTCAAAATTTTTGTATCATTGTTGTTGTGTTCCTTAGTGGGACAAGCCATATGACCTAGACATGGATATCACGGCATGAGAAGAGCAGATGGTGATATATGCCAAAGTGACAAAATGGTATAAAATGACGGAGGTTGCCTCTAATCGTAGAACATGGCATTTTGTTCACTTCGGTTTTGATGAGTCATTTCGGCAGTACCACGTGCATCGACGGTTAATATTCAGGTCACTCTGCTAATTATCAGGTCCAATATCGTAGAAGTATAGTGTTACAATTTCTATAAGCATGCAGAAGTTTTTACAGCTACGATAAACCCAAAGTCACGAGATGATTTTTGTGTGTCCATGGTTTAAAAATACAAATGGTTATTGTGGTTATTGGTTCATCGGAGACCAAGGGGCATTCATTGGATTGAAATATCTGGATTTCAATTAAGAAATAATCTAGAATTGCTCCAATCGACTAAATTCTGACTACGAGGACATGTTTAGTTTATCATTGAAATCAACTTTACCAAATTACCGAAATTTGAAAGGGTTAAATGGGTGAGGTGTTCGGTTTGATGTCTTGTCAAATTTTTTGTGTGGTTTTATGAGTGGAATGTTTCGGAACTATTAAAGTTTGGTAGGAATGACAAGTTGCGATGGTAAAAAGGTATTTGATTTGTTGCCTTGGTTTGTTTCGGTGACAAACCAAATTTAGTAAATATATGATACAATCATAAAATCTACGGTGTAGGTAACTCCAGCCAGCTCGGTATTCCAAGTTTTTTACCCTCTCAAGCTCTCTTTTGAGCAAGTTTAATAGTATAGCTGACTACTAACTCTAAATCATCTATAGTTAATATAGTAACTATAATAGCTAATTCATATAATAGTTACCTGTAAACATATACTACACTATTGATACATGGTCTCACCTGTCATATACACACTGTGTTTTGGAGTTCGTACTGCAGTTGGCTACAAATCCATAGCTCACTGCTCTTCTCTCCTCTTTTATCTCCTTAAAATATGTTTATAGTAGGCTTATACTCCCTCCATTCCAAATTGATCTACATATAGTTTTTTTGAGGTTATTCCTAAATGATCTACATATTTGTGTTCATAAATTAAGTCTATTCGTTATTTGTGCATTGGAGTAAATGGACATTGATGCATGCATCCATGCACACAAGTATTTATAACTCACATGCAATATCTTGATTTGCTATTGGCTAGGAGATAGTGGGGATGGTGCATGCATCGAGTTTGTTGCTAGAGTAAATATAGTATGAGAGAGTTATTAGCTTTTATTGGTCTTGGTGTACCTATGAAATATGTAGATCAATTTGGAATGGAGTAGTCTGCTATTGTACCTGCTCAGGATGCGTTTGAATGTGCCGTTGGATTGTGAATTTTCATGACACGCAAAACGAGCAAGCCATTAGCGTATGATTCATTAAATATTAAATTTTATAAACTTGAAAATTATTTTAAAAAAACTTTCATATAAAAGATATTTTAAAAATATATCATTTAACAGTTTAAAAAACTTATGACGGTTTACGAGAGAGCAGTCAACTCCAAACTCACTTTACAACTCAGCCATATCGCTGGGACTAATAGCCGAAATGCACAATGTGAGTATGTGACGCGAAAAAAAAAATCCATTTTCTTTTCTGCTCTAACAAGTTAACACAGGCTAATAGCATTCACACACGCAGAGGTCAAAGGATAAGGATTCCAGGCATATGTTGGGACCGACCTAAATTTAATTGTGGCACCCTTTATCTGAACTGTCACGAGGAAGCTATCAAAGGATTGTGCTCAACTGTTGTGGCTGTCGGTCCAACAGCCTGCATTTCTTCACGTCCATCTTCTCACCAAACTGAGATAGTTGTATCTTTCTGATAAGAGGATGACTGGCAGCGATGGCATTTCTTCACATCCATCTTCTTACCAAACGATGTAATTGTAGGGTTTTTTTTTTGGCAGATAAGAGGATGCCAGCGATGGCAACAGATTACAAGGTAGAAAGATTATGATTTGCAATGTGTTTTTGCCTAAGCTTGAAAAAGTAGTGGTGATCAGGTATCCACAAATGTTCATTTCCACGAAACTTTGGCACACTAGTTGCAGCAGAGCTGGGGCGGAACTAGAACAAAATGGAGGGTGCCTCTTGCTTAATTTACTCTACTTTAGATCAAGTTAAAGCTGATACGGGTGTCTAAGTTTGTATTTAGGGGGTACACATATGGTGAAAATCGGTGAGTTATAGCTAAAAAAATTTCTTGACCGGGTTCCTGGGCACCCCCATCTCATATTCTACATCCGCCCCGGCAGCAGAGTATGGTTTGCAACTTCCATTGGACAGTTATACTTGAACTCTATGTTCAAAGCTCCATTCCAAACTCATAATGACATAATGTAACTACAAGCAGTTTTATATCTTAGAAACACCATATTCACATAAACACTATCCTAAAGTATAGTTCTGGAAGCTTCCTCGTACTCATCAGACTTAACAATTTTATCATGTCCCAATACTCTTACTCGAGACAAATCCTCGAAGCTACCTTGATTCCATGACACGAATTTGAACTACTAGGCAGAGTGGCAGGCATGCCTTGATTTCGAGCCAAAGATAGGAGTGGTTATACAGACGGTCAAACTGGAGGAGGCTGCCATATGTTCTATCCCACACACCGACAAAAGGAATAAGTTCACTTAGTGACACTTAAAAGTGATCGAAATCAAATTCGTAACCCTAAACCACAAAACCGGATATCTTGACCCCCCAGCTCTTCAAACCGGAGCAATTTGACTCCCTCGGTGGTTTTAGAGGGCGGTTTCGCTCACGTGGCGCCTACGTGGTAGTATTGACTCGGTCTTCTTTCCACGTGGCGTTGATGTGGCGCTTAGGTGGCATTAGAAATAAAAAAAAGTGTGGGACCCATTTGGCATCCACCGAAAGTGTGGGTGGGACCCACTGACATGTGGGGCCCACATAAATCATCCTCTCTTCATCCTCCCCCTCTCTCTCTCTTCCCTTCGGCGAGCGGCGGCCGTGTGACGGCTGACAGGGGCCAGCGATGCGCGGGAGCTGGTGGCGGCGGCAGCAGCGGCGCGCGGGAGCCACCGCCGGCGGAGGCGGGAGGGCGGGCGGGCGAGGGCGGGTGGAGGCGCAGGAGGGGACCCTGGTGACGACGCCGTCGGTGTTGCGGTAGTCGTCGGCGACGGGGTCGTAGACGAGGCCTCCACCGCCATGGTGATGACCCTGGTGACAACGCCGTCGGCGTTGCGGCAGTCCTACTCCACCGCCGTGCAGTGCCTCTGCCGAAAGGGCGCCCCCGACGAGGCCAAGGAGACGCTCGACGAGATGGTGGCGCGCGGCTTCCGCCCCACCGTCGCCACTTTCTCCGCCGTCGTCAGCTGCCTCTGCAAGCGCGGTCGTGTCACCAGGGACATGGCCCATGGAGGTAGCAACCGAGGAGGTTGGAGACGAGAGCGGCGGCGGCGGCGGGCGTACGAGGGGCGGCGGGCGAGCGAAATCTCGGGGGCACCACCTCTCCTCCCTCCCTTCCGGCCCTCGCCCACCGCCGCCGCCGCACGCGTCTCGGCCTTCGCGCGCCGCCGTCGCTGCTCCGGCCCTCGCCCGCCACCGCCGCCGCTCCAGCCCTTGTCTGCCGTCGCCGCCGCCGCTCCGGCCCCGCCCGCCGCTCCAGCGCAGCAAAGGGGGAGAGGAAGGGGAGAGAGAGAGAGAGAGGGGGGAAGGACCGGAGATGGCCACCACATCTACCGCCCTCGTTGGCCCTCGCCCACCCGCTCGCCGATGGTCGCCGCCGCCGTCCCCACTGCCCGCTGATGGTTGTCGCCGCCGTCCAGCACGAGCCTGTCGATGGCCGCCGCATCGCCGTCCCCGCCGCCGCCGCTACTCCCGAGTCCCGACCGCCAGACGCCACCGCCATCCCCACTGCCGCTTCGGTGGTGAAAAGAGGCTGGGGGAGAGAATGAGAGAAGGGAGAGAAAGGGGGAGGAGGAAGAAGGGGAGGAGATTGGATGACATGTGGGCCCCACAGGTCAGTGGGTCCCCATGTTAGTGGCCCCGCATGTCATCCTCCGTGTGAATGAAAAATTAATTATTTTTTTTAAATTCTAATGCCACCTAAGCGCCACGTCAATGCCACGTGTAAAGGAGACCCGGTCAATACCACCACGTAGGCGCCACGTCAACAAAACCGCCCAGGGAGTCAAATTGCACCGGTTTTAAAAGTTTTGAGGCTCAAGATATCCGGTTTTGTGGTTTAGGGTTATGGATTAGATTTCGATCACTTTTAAGGGTAACAAAGTGAACTTATTCCCCGACAAAAAGCATGTCAGTGTCTGGGCTGAAAGACATTCCAGATATCTGACCGAAGAAGTCCAGCTCTTGCCTTCTGTTGTAATCGTTCATGTTAACAAAACAACAAATACCATTATACACATGAATGACATGAATTTGATGCAACATAATGTAGCAGTTACAATGCAGCGACAGAAGGTGAGTTCTAAGTAGTCAACCGAGAAGTGAGATTCCAGATAATACGTAGCCTCTGCCATAAATTACAAAGGATTTTACACGCAAAAGGAAAATGCCCAGCCGGGTGAACTAACTCAATCCTCATTGGTTACAACAGCACACCAACTTTGGATAAATGGAAGACATAATAACTCAATGGAACCACAATGCAGCTAGTCCAAAGGTCAGCATGATGAAAGCAAGCAAGCTGCTCTGAGCTTGCTGGCCAGCACTTGAAACGACACTATCTTTTTGGGAAACGCCTTCGCAAGAAAGACCTAGCTTGCCTTCTCGGCACTCGTTTGCAAACAGACCAGGTGGATACTTGCCATAGAGGTTGATGTAGCTGAACATTGTTGATGCACAGTCATTGCTCTCGTCGTTGATATATTCATTAAATGGGCATGCGAATTCCTTGAAAGCATCGCAGCACTGTTTAGCAGGAAACCGTGGCCCTTTGCACTTGCTTGTGATTATTGTGTAGTTTTGGAACTCAAAATTCACAGGGCAATCTGACAAGAATATGTAAAAAAGTACATCAGTATATTAGAACGATGTACTTGAAAGTCTTGTAGCATGCAGAGAAGGTAAGGAGTACTCCTATATTACAGACAACTTACACTATGATCAGAGATGACCAGTGATCTATCTTAACGTTATTTGGTGCATTGCATCAGCAATATATGTGTATTGTTCATTAGACCAAGGATACAGAAAATATGTAATTAGAGGTTGCCTTGAATAATTTAGTTCTTGTGCAGATGTTTGCAGGGACAATTTATCTAATTGGCATTTTGTCCCTTTGCAGAAATTTTCTATATTCATATTAACTTATCTGTTACAGGCCCACTTATTAATAAGTACATGTCGTGTTATCTGGATATTGCACATCAAACTAGAGAACGCATTCCTGCTTCACCATTCAAGGATCAACAGAATTAGCTCAGAGAACTCATTTCATCTCCGCCCATCTAAAATCAAGAGAACAGCAGTTTGCCTGTTCATCGCCATACCCTATAAGCATGACATTTTCAGTTTTTCTCACTATCATATACTTAGTACCTGCACTTTTGGCGTGCAATAGATTCTGAGCACCTCACACCACCCATCATAAAACAGTTCATAATCTTGGAAAAGCTGTGGTGATCAAATAACCACAAAGGTTCAGCTCCTGACACTTTGGCACACCAGTTGCAGCAAAGCGTGGTTTGTAATTTCCATTGGTATGTTATACTTAACCCTGTTGTCAAAGTCCCACCTCACAATGGTATAAATGTAGCAACAAGCATCTCTCTGTAAACAAAATTAGCAACATCATGTTCACATAAACACTACCCTGAAACTTCGCTCCAGATCATCCATCCGACTCATCGGAGTAGCTTATCCATAAAAAGTGTCCCAGTTCTCTTCCTCAAGACAACATGGATGAGTCAATCAAATACTTTTCAGCAATCCTCGAAGCTACCATGATCCAATGACACGATTTCTAACTACTCGCAGGGTGGCAAGCATGTCTTTGATTTCGATGGACAGATCGGGGAATCTACTCCATGAATCTACGCGGCAGCATCCAAAGGTCACTTCCACTTTGTCACATGTTCCCCCCAAATCACCAATTTCAGATCAAATCCCCCCTACCTTAACCCAACCTCGAATCCACCACGAGCAATTGAAGTTACAAAAGGATGGAACTGAACAAGAAATGGAGGGAAACGTACTCTTCTTGGCCTGCAGCAAGCTCCTCCCCGTAGATCCGACGCTCCCCAGGAACACGCTGTCTGCAGAAACAAAAGAGGCGAAACGAAACCAAACCCGTCAGAACCTCACGAACCGAAGCAAAGCGGAGTTCGAGGCAAGCGGCGGAAAACGAGCGCACCGGAAATGAAGGGGGACGCGGAGGCGAGCCCGACGAGGACGGCGGCCGAGACGACGAGCAGGAGGAGCCCACGGTCCACAGCCATCGTGCTGCACCTCCTCCTCCTCCTCCCAGGCGCAGCAAGAACTCCTTGTGCTCGCTCGCTCGCTCGCCGCCGCAAGAAACGGCGGGACCGGAGCTCGACGGATCTAAGCAGCACGGCGGCGATGGGGGAGGGGACGCGCGGGCTGCCCACGTGCGCGCCTCAACGTCTTCGCTGGTGTCTCGTCGATCCTGAGCTCTCTCTCTCTCTCTCTCTCTCTCTCTCTCTATTTCTCTCTCTACCTTAAGAAGAAGCAGAGGTTAGTGAGGCAATTAATTATGCGCGGGGACGGAGCTGGAGTCTGGAGCTGGAAGAAGCAAAGAGAGACGAGCACGACGCGCTTTGGTTTGGTTGCCGTTTTTTCTTTTCTTTTTTTTTCTTTATTATTTTGGTTGCTATATTTGTGACCGTGTCGCGACGGTGCGATTCTGTGAGCTGGTTTGGTTTGGACGTGAGGGAAGTGGAGCGGTGGATGGAGGGGGACTTCACGCTCGTCGTGCGTTTTCACTTGGTTTTCTCTCTCTCTCCCTCTCTTTTTTTTCATTCGGGGCTTAGAAGTTGCTGTGATCAGTTACTCTTAGGAATACACTACATGCGAGTTTAAGACGTCATGTTTTTTGAAAAAAAAAATCTATAGGAGAGTTAAAGTAATATTATTAATCTAGTTTTTAAGTTTGAAATAATGGCTCAACTATCTCTTTTTTTTTCTTTTCTTCACTTCTCAAACATAGTCAGAAAAACGAGGAGAGTATACAAAATAGATTGAAATTAACAGGCAAACAATGAATCTTCAGGGGGCGTTGATGAGGCCCAGCGGGAAGCGGGTAGAAATTACACAAAACAAGTCCAACAATGTGATAATTTTAACGTTTGTTCCTTCCGATTGTTACTGTATGACGCTGTGAGTAGTAAATTGCAGCGCCACTTGTTCTTTCTGATTGAATTATTATGTTACTATAATCGTAAAAGGACTTATACATCACTTTCTCCTTTTGTAAATTGTATCTCATTCTCACGTGAAATGGTCAATATCTATGTGTGTTCCCATGACAAGCGCACGCAGCTGTAGAGACGTTAAAATGGGTCAGCCCTAACAAATCTTTCCTCGCAGGCATGTGCGTTGCCCGCGTCCATCCTTGTCCATGAGATGGACGTGACCTTCTCTCTTGACGAAAATGCCATATTCCATCTGGCATTTGTGACAGGAGTACATACTACTCCTATCACAAACTTTTCTGCGAGAACGAGTTTGCTGTTTGCCAGCTAAGTTGGTTACATCATGTAGTGCCACACAGCTCACTGCGCGGCGGAAGAATACCCACTCCCCAACATGCGATCCACAATCAGCGGATGTCAATGAAAGGACGTGGCAACACCAACCTGGAAAAACACCTCCTTTTGCCTCGTTCAGATTTTGCTTTGCATACGACAAATAAAAGAACGGTAAATTTTGGCATTTATTGGCCGTTTCACCATGTCAATCTGGTATAAGTATCTTGCAGCAGCAAGCAGTGCAGTCATATATTTACACTTTACATTTGAAGGGAGGCAAAGCAATGAAAAACCTGATCATGTATTGACCATATCAACCAAAAAAAGGGTATGAAGAACTATGAATTCCGGCCCATTGCCTCAAACTGTTCTGAAAATGAAAAATGCACAAGGCATTGATGAGATGCATACAGCAGATCAGGAGGCTCGATGGAACATAAATAAGCTGTGCATTGGCTCTTTTAGAATATCCCTTTTGGACTATTATAAGCTGGACTATGTTAAGTGACTTCCAGCACGGTCTTTCTTGACTATCTTCTCAGTTTGCCTCGGGTCACCACTCTGTACTTATTCAGAGTAAGATTTGCTCGGTTTTTTGATAGACCAAAAAAAAAGTGAGAAAAGGGTAACCATGTACAAAGCAATGAAGTTTAGTTTTATGTTGGAATGCCGGCATTAGTAAGTCGTCGACTCTTCTTTTCTTGTTCCTGTACATTGCTGCTAAGTTTATTATGTACAAAATTTTCTTCTCTGCAACAGACAAGAAAAATAAAATAAAGGAATTTAGCGTCTGACAAGAACACCAAGAAATAAAAGCTGCAGAATAAATACAAATATAGTCTGTGCTACATAGATACACGCAGTAGTATTTGAACCTAGAGGCCAATCAAATCATACAATATGAAGAACAAATGCATTCAACGTGGGAAATATTGTAATTATTTCATAACTAAAATTCACTGTGGGAATTCGCTTGGATATATTTTTTAAAAAAATCATGAGCTGCAATTAGGAGTATGTATTTCATCTCAAGTTAGCATGAGAGTTTTTTTAAAGAGATTCCTTATACAACTCATTTTGTATTTTCAAAAGCAAAACGAGCTTAAAATCCAACTCAAACACGGATCTATATTTCCAAAAGCAAACAAACATAAAAACCGATTCAAACACGGATGACGTACTAAAATACCAACAAAAACATCTTCAATTTTTATAATAGTAGAGATAGAGATATGATATGCTCACCCTAAGATCGGACTCCTTTACAGCTTCCAATGTCTCAGCCATCTGCATTTGTCTAATCACTGTTGCATGCAATACCTGAACAAACAAATTCAAAAACATCACATATAAATAGACGAACAATGAAATACAACAACAAAGGAAGCTAATATTATCAGCTAAACTGCAAAAAGGTAATGAACACATATCCAATGAATTATAACTTCAGTATGCACTACACCCAAGCAAACAACTATATATTAACATGCCCACTCTAGTAGACTCCTAGGATCTGACCCATAGAAGGATTTACGTATGGCAGGTTAGTATAATTGCAAGCCTGCATATTAAGACTGCTATGAACATAACCAATGATAGCGATGTAAGATTTGAAAATGTTATAAAGCACATTTTTAATAAGTACAAAAAACGAATGGCCCTTGGGAGATCTCTTGTTAAAATTTTGGATTTAAATAGGCTGCATTGCATTTTCCTTCTATCTCCAATGTTTAACTTGTAAAGGTTGGACGAGCATAGCCCATGCAGTTCCTATTGGATAGTGTGATCAAAAGTCTCAGGAGTGGATTGGAAGTATCTTAAATCTGCATATTCAAATAAATAAAGCCACAATTTCATAGTTGACTTCAACTATGTTGGTTCAAAATTCTCTTAACTATTTAACAGAAATTCATCTATCAATTACAGAACACCCTTCTGTGGTAAGCACATGACAGAGAGCTAACCTTAAACCTACAAAAAAAAAAGTCAGCACCATAATTCAATTACAGAACACCCTTCTGTGGTAAAACACCATTACCTTCTTTGTCTTCTCCAGATCAAATTCAATGCACTTTATCCTGTCAAAAGAATCCTGTATAGCACGATCCTTATCCTGTGGAATCTCTGGAGGCTTTCTGCTGAGCTGATTAAACATTGTCTCAAGTCTTTCAAGACGCTCTAGACAAGGATTTACACGATCTTCCTTAATTATCTGAAGATCTGCCTGATTACTGTGCACTGTTGTAGTATGCTGGGGGACATTTTCCAACTGTTGTCGATGACGGATGAAAATACGCAAAAAAGAGAGTACTTCAAGAATTACACCGAGAACTTTTTTAGAAATATATTTCAAGATCCCATGATCTGCATTTCCTTCACCATCATTTGGGACGTGACCTGCTAGTTTCAATTCATAGTTTCAAGAATCAGAGGGGCTGATCTCCTTACTTAGACAAGTGAATCAAAATATTAATGAATTAATTGTTTTTTAGAAAATAACTCGTGCATGCAGATTTTGACTGGATACCTGGCTCAGGCGAAACTCTGTTTATTGAGGGATTTTGTCTTGCGCTGTACTGTCCCGATCCATTTCCAGGAGGGTTGTATCTTGTATTCGTCTCAACAACTTTATCATCAGAACCACTGCATGTTGATCCTGACTCCCTGGCCTGCATGATAAAACCAGGAGATTAAGTCTGTTATGGAACACCATTGGTGATGCATGCTATATGCAGGCACATGGTAACTGCAAAGAACATCTAAGCTACTTTTCATGACAACCGAAGTAGTAAATGCGTAGTTTAAGATGGAGCAGACAGATGTTCTTAAATAGTGGTAGCACAAAAGGACCAAGAACAGACCTCCTCATGAACTGGAGCCAAACTATGATACTCAAAATCTTCCTGTCCTATAGGAGATCCAAGATCATCAACATCTGAACCAGATTCAGCATTTGATGTATAACTAATTCTTTCTGGTAACTGAAAGAAGTAGCATCAAATAAAATGTCAAAATAGAAGATGGGACAACTGAGCATATGAGAGTTCATAGATTGAACAATTGGTAATCTTGCCTTGAGAGCACGCAATCTTACAGAGCCTGTAATTGCTTCTTCTATATCAGATACTTGGCCAATGTCCTTCAACGCAGATGATTCCATGCAATGTACAAGCTACAATTGGAATTAAATTAATGAACAGTGGCAGCAGAGTTACAAATTTAACTCCTGCTGCACTGTGCAGACTATGATATGCTAAGAGAAAAATGGCAAATTTAGAGATTTACCTTCATAATTAAAGGATCACTCCAGGGGCCTTTGTTGGATCGCAGGCATCCTCCCTGGCTAGAGCACGTGCAAGAACCACCAAGAAACTCTGGTAGTTGGCTGCATATATATGTTGGTAAGCCAGGCACCACAGAACACCAACAAATCTTACATTTGAAATCAAAATAACATATAAGATCACAATCACCAACCTTGAGTCAATAGCTTCAAGAAGTCTGTGTTGGTATTTTGTTCCTAGAACCTGTAACAAATAGTAGGTATGAGCACACACAAAGATCACAAGGTGAAAAGTGAACTTTCAAAGCTTGCAAAAGTTTGTACATGGATTTTAGACGAGGTTTTGGGGTCAAGAAGTCCCTTCACAGTACTCCAGATCAGTTTAAAACCAGGCCCCGCATTTACAATGAACATTTGATGTAGTGTCTGCATGATTTAGGGCAAGCTTGGTAGTCAGCATGATTACAAAATAGGCCTAAATTTCATAAGTAACACCTACCTCAGGATAATAATCACCATCTATTTTCTGCATACAGCGCACCAAATCCCTTGCGATCTTGCTAAAGTTCTTCCAACCCTAATACACATAAAACAGAAGGAACAAGCTAAAATGCTATGAACCATTTTCCACTATTATGCAACCAGGATAGAGATCTACATTACTTGTAAAGAAAGGTACTGCTTGAAGAAAATAGTCTATTATCAAAAGGAAAACTATCCTGGGTCATATGTGCATATGTTTAAGGAAACTAATTGTCTGAACGTATACAGATCTACTCATGGCATTCTTATCTTGCATTGAGTGGATTTATCCCAAACCCTTCCGAAATTCCACCCAAGTGTTAGAATAAAATCCACTATACATTTGGTTTGCATGGATCAGATAAGATTCCCAATCATTAATTTGGAATTGGCAAAACAAAATATTTTGGTGTTCTTTCTCAAAACAAAATATTTTGGTGTTCTTTCTCAGTTGCTCCAAACATCATACAAATTTGACTAGGACAATGCTTTCCTTTTAAAACATGATTCTCAACTCAATATCATGAAGGATATTTATTTTTACATGTTCTTGGTGTTTAATAAACAATGATGAAAGCTAATTTCCAAATTGATGGTTTCATAACTTCATGTCTTTAATGTATCAACACCTTAAGAAATTGTTAGTTCAGGCAAATGTCTTTATTGTGAGCATGAAAGTATCTTAATGTAGGACTGATATTCTTTGTCAATTTTATTAGACAACTGCTAGCAAGAAGAAGACATAGTTAGGTGGCGATGGACAATTGAACATACCACACCGTGGACATCCAGTATTGTAGTTGTCGTATCAATATGCTTTTTAGCAGCAATTGAGCATGCAGGAAACTTCTCTCGGAATGCTCTCTCAAATTCCTGTACATGATATTTAATATAGCGTTCCACTGTTGTAATTTGTACAAGCTTACTGGGTTCAACTTTCCCAAGCAACTCGATATAGACGGGCCTTCCTTCCTTGTCAACACCATGATAACCATGGGGATAATACTGCAGCACCTCCTCTAGCTCATGAAATTCAAAATCCTTTAACAGAGAAGAGTTAGATGCAATCAGTATACATGTTGTAGTAAAGAAATTATGTGGGAAGCAATTGTTCATATCCATAGAGTCCTAGTAAAAATGCATCAAAGTGTAGTACAGTTTTCAGATCAACTCAAAGAATAGACAGTGTCTTTACTTCCAAAATTGTGTCAGTCCCGAAATCCTTCCTCCAGTGCAGCATGTCAGCCCACATATGTGCTGCCTTTTCAACATCAAATTTCCTAGCTTTCAAGAATCTGCAGGATATATAGATCAGAATGAACAATCAGTAAGTGGGCATTCGACAACCGAAAATACTTATATTAGAATGTTTCAACTGATGCTAACCTAAGCATCGTGTGATAATCGTCATGCCTCTCAGGCAGCATGTCCCTGGCAAACAAAACCTCTCGAAAAGAGCTGACAGCCTGCTCCTCCTCCGCGTCCCTGACATCCTCTATCGTGATCTTCGGCACTCTGCAGCCCACTTTCCTCTTCCCTCTCTTCTTCAGCGAATGCGTCAGCCTCGTAGATGCATGCAGCGCCTTCTTCTTCAACGACCGTATCCTCGTCTGCCTTGGCTCATCCTCCGAAATCTCAGCGTCCCCTCTGTCCCTCCTCTCATCGTTACTAGCTGATATTTCGATGCCGTCGACATTGCTCTCTGCAACAACGCAACGCAATCCAGAGAGCATGAGCTGCATTGGCCATTATCCACTAAACCTACATACCAGCACGATAATCTACAACTTCATACCTGACATTCTCCACAAATGCACCCTCAGACGATCAGACTTCTCACTCTGTATTTTTCTCAAAGATCGCTGATCCGATACTTAGTCACAACCACACGGGCCTAGACGCTGCCAGAGACTTAATACAGATTAAAATTCAATTCAGAGAGTTGTACTAGAACAATAACGAACTCGCCGCACATTCATTCAACGATAAGCCATGGAAACAGCTAAAACCCGATCCCCCCAGAAAGCCCCCAAAAAAAAAGTGATCCGTTCAATCTGCAATAAATGCTCCCGCCGCGAGATCCAGCGGGAGCCGCACCCAACCCCCCCAACCGCCTCGGGAATCACGCGACCGCAAGCAGCTAGCTAGATCCAACCGCCCCCGATCCGCGGGCGAACTGCGCCCTTATCCGAATCGATCCGTACCTCGTCGCCGGGAGAGGAGGAGATCTGCAGCTAGCGGCACGCACGCATCCACCAGCTGCGGCGGCGCGGGACTCCTCCGATCAGGCTCGGATCGGAGAGGCGGGCCAACGGGGGATACCCCCGGCGGCGAGGGAGGATTCGAGGCGGCGAGGGCGAGGGCGAGGGCAACGCGGAGGAAATTCGAGTTCGGTGCGAGCGTTTGTTTTGTTTCGTTTGTTTGATCCGCTCTCTCCTCGCGCTTACGCTTCCATGGCCTTCCTTTTCCGCCTACTCCTATACTACTAGTAGTGCTGTGCTTCTAGTGCTCTCTGTAACGGGGGTTTCCTTTTTCGAGGGGCTTTTGATGTGGGGCCCACGCGTCAGTGGGGGTGAACGCGCGCGCGTCGAGATTGACCTGGCGCGCGCGCTCCGCCCGGCGCCCGCGTTGCGTGACTGCGTTACGAAGCCCCGGGAGGGGAGCGCCGACGCTCACGTGCGCGGTATCCGGGACACGTGGGGCCCGCTGTGAAGTGGGGTCCTGCAGAGCCACCGGCAGGAGGTAGGAGGTGGCTCCTGAGTCCCTGAGTCTCCTGGCTTCACACAAAAGTATTTATACAAATCAGCCAAGTATACTCCCTCTAAAAAAAATAAACATAATAGGATGTGATTTATCATTGTATAATAAATCTGAATAAAATATTCAGACTAGTTAATATGATAAATCATATTCTATTCTAGATTTAGTTCTTTTTTGACATGGTGAGTATGACATAGGTGATTTTTCTCGAAAACACTAGTGAATTGACATAGATATTAGGCAATGTTATTTATCACCTCTTCCTAACTTCTGCTCTCTCTTTTTTCGTGCGCACACTCCTACTAAAAAAAATATATTTTTATATTGAAAGTTGTTTTAAAAAAATTGTACTAATCATTTTGTTATTGTAGCTATTGTTTAATTAATCATGCGCTAATGGATCGCTCCTTTTTGTTTGGGAGGTGAACCGAACTCACCTCGACCATAAAACTTTGCTCTTAGATAGTGATGCTTAGAGCATATACAATAGTTCCCAATATCCCTACATCCCAAACAAATTATCACTTTTGGAGATTTGCGTGCTCCAACAGTCCCCTAGTACCTTCCTCTATCCCCAATAATTATTGGTAATCACCAACACCCCCTTTCCCCTCACAGACAAACAGAGCCTTTGTTTGGATCATGGGTTAAGAGGAGTGGGATTGAGGTAAGGATATGAGTGAAGACTTAAGATGAAACGGAATATGAAAAATTAACGGCTAGGTCTAAAGGTTATCCTTCAATAAGATGAAATAAGAATTCTTTGTCCCATTATCCAAACATAGTCAAAAGGGAAGTTCCAACTCCCCTATACTCGCAGTTTGTTTTTGTGGCGCCACCCCTATCGCCTCGATTGGGCTCTGTTCGTTCACCATCGTGCTCCCTCTCACCCCACTCCCATGCCCCACCAACCAATATGCTCGAGGCCGCCACTCCCTCACGACGGCGCTACGTCGACACTGCTGGAGTTGTGACCGTCCGCGGCTTCCCGCTGCATCGAGCTCGTGCTTTGCGAGTGAGATCTTGTAGCAGGTTGCGATGATGATTTTCAAACATACATTCGTTATATAAATTGGAGGATTTTATAGAGAACGGATTATATGGTAGTGCCGTGGAGTAGGATGCGTTATCTCCTTGTTGGTATTGATTGAGGGTTCCTTTGTCGCGTTAGATAGTACGCACAACACCGTTTCAAAAATATAAGACATCCTTATTTTTGGAGTAAAGGGTATTTATAAGTTGACTAATGATTAAATAAACTAAAAATATCTGTTTAGTATTATGCATGTGATTCAGATTCATAGTTAATTAATTCCCTTAATTTAGTCATTAATATTATAATATAAAATAAAATAATAATCAAAGCCGTAATAAAAAATATACACTATATCTTGGAATTTGGAATGAAGGAAGAATTACAATGTCTTTGTAAACTTATACCTTAGATTTTAATGATACATGATATTTGCATGAGAAGATACTACACATGGTGTGAAATGTGGATTTGCTTAGCACTTTAGCTAAAAGACGTGCCTTTTTAACCTTGCACAGTTTGTAACATAGACCAATTATACAAAGAGTATAGTAATTGGGACGGTATAGCCACACCGAAGTGCCATTAGAATTTAGAAGTTTAGAACGTACTGCCTCTGTTTAAAAATAAAACAATTCAATTACTGAATGTAACACACTCGTATTATTTGAATGTGTCACATACACATACACAGTACTGATTGCTTTATTTTAGAAAGGAGAGAGTAGGGTGTAAAACCAAGGAACAGCCTCGCCATCTTAAATAGCTAAATATTGCACATTACTTTCTCGCCGAAACACAGAGAAAGCAGAATCAGTCAACATCATATTCCATAGACAAATTTCACGCACAAGTAAATGTCTGATATGATGATATATACAACACTTTGCTCCTCGTCCTCGTATAGCACTGGAATATCACTGAAAAAGAAAGATTTTATTTGATATGAGTCGTGGTAGAGTATCCAGCGGACCAAACAGTTCAGGCCGAGAAAACTTACATGATGGCGCATCTCTTTGTTCTGCATTTGAATCTTCAGGACATCTCCAGTAATTTCATTCTGCAACTGAAGTTGAAGATGGTAAACATCACACACTTTATACGGCTGAAGTTTGCTAACCCCACTTCACAAAATGTATATTAACCAAACCATATATTTACAAAATGTTAATATCTTACAACTATGATAGCAGCAAGTACATAGTAGATGTTACTAGTTTACGTCTGATCTAGCACGATTGCTATGTGGTTTTGATTCACATGTTTGTAAGGATTTGTTTCCACCTTGTATACACATTCTGAGAATCATGCATAGTGCTAGCTTTTTTTTTTCTCCAATTTCATTAACGAAACGCCAGTTGTTTTGAGCATAGTGCTAGCTATACATGACTCTCCGTTGATAGTTTATCTAGTTTGATACTTCAAAGAACAGTTTATCCCGTCCCCTATGTTATTATTAATATTAATCTGCTCCCATACATAGTATACGAGAGTTGAGTATACCCATGATTATAACTTACAAGAGTGTTGTCATCAAAAGCACATAATTTTTTTAACAATGGACAGAATGAAAATCAAGATCCTTAACCAGTCACATAAAAAAAGATTGATGCATTTGTTAACCTACCAATACACGACGAATATACACACATTGAAATGCTCACTTAACCAAGGTAATTAGTCCATGAGAACACACTAAAAGGATGACCTACCAGAAACTAATGTTAACACATAAAGATGCGTAATATAGAACACACTAAGATGCTTGTTAAACTAGATAAAGCGTACAGCCACACAAAAACAACATTGCTAGTTTATTGGTGATGTTGGCATGGAAGAACATTAATTCAGAATGAAGTGGCAACATTTTTCATGCCAAAGTTCTCAACTTGAAACCCTATTGGTCATTTTCAGGCACAGAGTCAATCATAGGTGTTCTACCAACAACAATTGCCACAGCATTATCAAAGCTTAGGAAATAATTGTACCTGGCAGGCCATAATTAGAGCTTGGGCTTTAGTGTTACCACTGAAGTAGTCACGGACAGGCTTAAAGAACAAAAAATTACAGTAAGAACAAATTAAGAGCAGAGAATAACGAGTAGTTAAATTAAGGGGAAGAACATAATGGCAAGATAAAATATCTACAAGCATCCCTCAGATTTGGTTGAACTCCTGCATATCCAATATCCTGTAGTAGTTCACATACTGATTGGAACCAGACCATCATCCCGCAATCCCACTGCTCATTGTGTAACTTTATTTACTAAAATTATGTTAAAGAAAATCTTGTTTGTCGCTAGGTATCTTATCGAAATGTGGACTTGGACCAGCCTTACACCCATAATAATGCAAAAAGTCCCCCTTAAAAACACTCAACTTTCATTTGTATACAAATAATTCCATGTACAGCTTTATTAAAAGGTGTTTTTAACCTAAATAGCCTAGTGATCCTAGTAGAAGCTATCAACACATGACTAGCCATTTGGACCGTAGCTCTTAAGAGAGCAATATATATAAGTTACCTCTAGAATGTTGTTTATTGCTTTCTCAAGAGCCATCTTAACATCAGCAGAATTGAGATAACCTCTTTCATAATCAACACTAAGTTCTTCCATGCTTACAAATGTCCTGTAGAAAAGTAAAAATCTCATATCATGGGGTTTGGAGTATGATATCAATCTATAGCACTTACATTTACAGCATAGCAAATTTGTTTATTTCGTGAATTAGTATTTACTAAGCTGCATCGACTGATTATTGAATATAGATTGTCATGATATAGAATGGATCAGTGTACATTCTATAGGTGAATAACAAAATTGACCTTTGTAACTTTTAGTAGATAAGCGAAAGATCAAAGAACCTTACTTGGTACTACCATTCCATTCATTCTGGACTACCTCCAAGTTCCCAAACCAAGGTAGGATGATATATTTGATATACTCCAGACATGGGTTGTGTACCACTACTTTTGGAGGACAGAATGCCCTCTGTATTTTTGAATTTAAAGTGTGCTGCAATGAACGAAATGGCATTTTCAGATAACCATATTCATTAAAAAAAACAGTGAACAAGAGAGCTAAATATTGCCCATAGATCATAATACAAACCTGATTGTCCCCTAATAATACAGCGCACTGTATATCTCATGGAGAATTACAAGAATGGCGCAAGTGTTCAAAATTAACTACTTGATCAGCATTTAGAAGGACTTGAGTAGTGAAGCAAAAATACAACAATTTGAGATAAATCTCTTGTACAGAAAAAAAAGTTTCAGGTGTAAAAGGGGTTTTACCACATAGGCTGAGAGAGATTCAACTATGAAAACTATAGGGCTAAGTGGATAACATATTCTTAATATGGCATCAGGAGGCAATAAAGTTATTTTATTGTCTGCATCATTTTAATCTATTTAACTTGTACAGGCAATACAGTTGATCCCCCAAGTGTAGTTATTAGTATTTCCATATCTTTCCTTGGGCAAGCCATACTGTCCCTATTACTCAACCTTTAGATGAATAAGTAGTGCAGACGGATGTTTAATTCATTTAGCTAACCCAGCCAGCTCAAAACCTAATAAAATCCTACATTTTCCACGAGACACAGCCTCAAGCTTCTAACCAAGAATACCATCCGATCATTAAAATGCCACAATTTATTTACATCAATGATGCTATACGGAATGTCAAATCAAGAAAACACACTAGTATCATCAGAAAAGATGGTCCATCTCCGTATCTCACTTATTGATGCTTTTGCTTAAGGAAAACAACAATTTTTTTCTTGCAAAACAACATACATTCGCGTAAATATTACATGCAACAAATTTCATGATGTAGCTATCACGTAATTTGTTCATATTGTCATTTTTCTTAATTACTATTGCAATACACCTACTCCTATATATTGCTATCAGTTACCATTTTTCCACAGCAATTGTGAGTGTATGCCCTCCAAAACTCTTGAATTCAACCAGATTGTGCATATATTTAGCTTAAAAATATGCAAAAGGGAGATCGATATATTGGCCTTAGCAATAAAGGCTAGATAGCCATTGCAAAATTATCAGTTTATCACACAAAATACCTCCTCATCATGCATGAAGATAGTTCGTCCACGATCTCGCAAGTCCACATATTCAGGATCTTCTAGTAAATTAGGTAGAGCATCTGCAATTGAACTCTTCAAGTTAAGGATACATTTCAAAGAATGCCAACATCAACGCTAAAACAGCAAAAAAGTACAAACATATGCATCCATCATTAGCAAACTGGGGTTAACAGAAAAATAGGTCTGATAATCATACCATGCAGCAAAATAGTTGGTTTGTTCACCCAGTTTATGTTTTCACAATAATCTCTAGTGAGCATGATAATATCTCGTTGATCCATGCTGAATAGCCATATGTTCGTCTGCAGTTCAACAATGGAAGGCTGTGAGTATTTTCGTGCAGGGCCAAGATAATCTATAAGTAATATATATATATATATATAGAAAACTGTTCATTACAATAGTTGACCTAAACTAGAACTGGAAGGCTATTACTTGAGAGCTAACATTGTGATATCTGATAGCAATTCTACAGGAAGGGCACTTCATATCAAAGATCTTCTTAGAGTAAGAATATAAAAAAAATGCTAGGAAGCTGTTACCGACCAAATTTGGCAATATCAGCATCGGAAAAGGAGATTAGATCAAGGTGGAGTCAAAGGTGGAGATTGATCCGAGAACAGAGCAAGAATCGGCTGAAGTCCAGATCGGCTACGATTAAGATCGGCTGGGTCTGAGTCGGACTAGGTGAGCCGATGCAGCCGATTCTGACAGTATAATTTGGTGTATGACATTGGGTTGAATTGAGGTGCTTCAAGATGATTGCCGCACATGGATAGAGTCCCGAGAAGACAATTGTATCTATTAATTAGGATGTTTTATGTAACTTCCTTAGAGATATGTTTGGGCAAAAGTCTGCCGCAAAGAGGTATCTTAGAGTTTGTTAGAGATAATGGTCGTGTCCGGTATGAACATATCTTGTAATTCTCGGGTATAAATAGACCCCGAGCCCTATGTAATTTTTAACACACACGTTCAATACAATTTCGGCGCATCGCCACCTTTTTGCTTTAGTTTTGTTTCGACGAGTTCTTGCTTTCGGGTTGAGCTGCATCGGTTTCGATCTTCAACAAGAGGTAAAACTTGTTATGACGACTTGTGTTCTCGAGATTAGCGTTTCCATCCTTATGACACTCTAATCTTGTCTATATAATTCGTCAAGTTATCATATATCTTACATAATCCTTGGCAATATCGTCATCTAATCTACAATCGGCTAACATCTGTTAATAGAAGGCAGCCGATTAGATTAAATAGCGACGTTGTCCAAGATCATATAAGATATCTACCACTTTATGAAACACCCAGCGGCTTGATTGTCTAGATATTGTTCTTCTTTTCATACTTAATGCTGCATCAGTTGAGTTTGATCTATTAAGTCGTGCTTAGAATATCAATCTCTAGCCTATCCTCTGGTTGCCGATTAGGGTAGTATCGGAGTTTCAGCCGATCTTATCTGATTTAACCATATTCGATCTATATGCTTCAATGACATGTTAAATCCGCCCTTTATGTCAGGATCTTATTGCATTTAAGTATATTAAGCTTTTGTTTGGTATATTATATTTGTTTTGATATCTTTATATAAAGTAGTATCGGAGTATTAGCCGATACATGCTAGATCTATCTGATCGGCTATGCTATAAACATATATAATCCTGTTATTAATATATATTTCGATCTAAGTGATTTATACTGTCTCGGCATGGTGACCGATCTATCCCAATCACTTGATTTAAGTATATATTAATATAAGAGCTATATATCGTTAATATCTACAGCCGATCGAATAGATTTAGTTCCTTACCGCCGATCGATTCATATATGACATTGGCTCAAAGATAAATGATATGTCATCGGCACCTAGCCGATCGGCTATCATTTATAGATTTAACCATGAATTCTTTGTCTCTATTTCTTGTTGATTACAGGATCAAATCAATTGGCACGCTCATACATTCGAAGACGAGCTTTGGACCTTCACTGGAGTTAAGCAGATCTCCCAGGCCTCGTGTTTTCTGTTAACACGCTTTTGGCACGCCCAGTGGGACCGATTAGAAGTCAGCAAGCAATTCTTCCTGATGGCCGAGAAGCCACCACTGTCGCCATCCTCGGCTAGCCCAAGCACTGTTAAAGAAAAGATCCAGAAGTTGGGGTTGACTGACGTCAATGAAGGAAACGTTGTGCCCATCGATCCAGAGAAATTCACACCTGAGCAGAAGAAGGATTTTGAAGCAATGTTGCAGCAAGCTCGGGATCAGTTCTTGAACTCATTCATGCAGACCCGCAAGGGAACATTGGTTCAGAAGTATAAAGTAAAGGTAGTTGCCGATGATCCTGGGACCAGTTCTTCCAAAAGTGAAGACGGGAAACAAGCTCCAGATGGCTCGGTGTTGACGAAAAAATCAAACACACCGGCCTGGGAGATCTGCTTAGCTCCAGTGCAGGTCCAAATATGATGAGATGTGGGCGTGCCAGTCAGTTTGATCCTGCAACTGACAAGATATGCAAATAGTAGATCAAAACAGCCAATCGGCTGACAAGCCGATGGAGTAGTTCCAGCCGATAGCCGATAATAGCCGATACCGATACCAGCCGATAGCGATAGGGTTTAAGCAATCGGCTATATGTCCAATGTAGATATTGATATAAAGGCAATCGGCTGATGATGATGTAATAAAATAACAATATAATCCAATATAAACCAATCGGCTAGCAATGATATGATAAATAAGCATCGATCCGAAGGTTAAAGCACCCAACGGCTGGAGGTCCGATGTCATGAAATCCACAAGATTAGATTAAACAATGAAACCTTTGTTGCCATCGGCTAAATCCAACTTATATGTATATGCAATCCTTATGAGCCGATGCAACGTCCAGATAACTCACCGGCTGAAACCCCGATGAAACCCTTATTGGCAATCAATAAGCAGACTAGAGATTATGGTTCTAAGCACGACATAGTAGATCAAACTTAAATGATGCAGCACTAAGTATGAAAAGAAACACAATATCTAGACAATCAAGCCGTTGACTGATTTTCAGGGTGGTAGATGCCTAGGCTAATCTAATCTAGCAACGCGATTTAGCCGATACCGGCAGAAACCCTAAAGCAAGAGACAGCCGATAGAGCTAAATTGATATGCTAAGACTAGATTAACAGAGACATGATAAATAGGTAGGCAAATATATCATCCAAACCAGAGCAATCCAAAAGGTCGAATGTACTGATGCAGCCTTGAACGACGCCGATGTAAACGATACAATTGCCTGGGCCGACGGAACATTGGACTTACCCCTTCGCTGGAGATCGAACACCGATGCAGCCCCGCGTCAGGTGCCAAGTCCCGCCGGACGATAAAATAAAGTAGAAAAGGTAAAAGGTGGCGATGCGCCGAATTGTATTGATCGTGAGGATAGATTACATAGACCTCGGGTGTACATATTTATACCCATGGGTTGATACAAGTCCTTGTCGGACAAGAAAGAAACTAACCTAAAGATAAAAGGAAAATATAAAGTCCTTATCGGACACTAAACACACTTTCCTAAAGATAAAAGGAAACTAACAAACTATTCCTGATTAATAGATAACTTGCCATGCCGCATTCTCTTTGAACTCGGTCTCTTCTGGATAAGCTTCCTTTAGTACATCAATTTCCTTAACCGAATATAGCAAGAATCCGACAACTGACGACTTGACAATTCTCATCGGCTAATCTCAGGACTTTGAAGCCGATGCCGACTCTCAGCCGATGACTACTCCGGGCTTACCAAAATTCACTGTTAACACTCGGCTCAACTGAGTGATAAAGGTGCTACCAACGGTTCTCTAGGAAGTCAAGGTGACAACTCTCAAGGGGTCCGTGGAGTTCGAGGTGATAGAGTGCATGGAGTTCAAGGTGATGGTGCTCAGGGGTTGCAAGGGGGAAATCTTAATCAGAATAGTGATGCGGCACAAGATTTTTTCAATAATTTCCAAGACCGAGTCGACTATGTTGTGCACCATGCTTTGATCAATCAGTCTGGGGTGTTAGTCAATACCTTATCAAACATGATGAAGTCAATAGCCGATGGATCAATAGCTGAGCATCAGGCTGCAGGCCCAGTTTATTTGCAAGGAGGTGTCTTTCCAAATTATCGGCCTTTGATCACTGATGCCTAGCCATCTATTCAGGCAGTTCCCCCCGTCGCACCATCAGCTCAGCCGACGGCGCCGGCATCAACTCCCTTACCTGCTCCGTCAGCATTGGCACCAGGCCAGCTGGTGAACCCTCAGTTGTTAATGAGAGAGCAGCCACAGCATAGTGGGAAGGTTGTGAATCGGTCGACGCAAGATCAGGTTGCTGCCATGTTTCTGCCACCTCAACCTGCTGTTGATCCAATACAGCAGCAGCCGATTCAACAGACACTCCCGATTCAGCAGGTTGTACAACCAATCTAGCAACAAGTTGTGCAACCAGTCCAGCAAACGCCACCAAGGCAACAGCCTCCGCGGCCGATTCAGCAAACACCGTTAAGACAGCAAATCGTTCAGCCGATTCAGCACCAAGGCTCAATGAGCGCATCGGCCGGGTTTGTGACGCTTGGTGGACAGCCTGTACAACAATTTTTAAATCAAGTCGTCCCAGAACACTTGGTTCACCACGTACAGCCGGATGGCACAGTAATGCCTCAAGTGGTTCCCGAGCATTTGGCACGTAATATTCAGCCAAACCTTCATAATTACCAGGGGGGCAACTTGAATTATCAATATCAGCCTCCTTCCCCGCAAGACCAATATCAACCAGGGGGACTGGCTCAACCTCAGTTTGCGTCTCAGTACGGTCAGTTCGAGCCCATGCAACAACAGTCACAGGGAGCAGCTCAGCAACGACCGTGGGCCGACGTGATTGCTGATGTAATGAGGAAACAGTTTGGGCTTAAACCAAAAGAGACTGGAAGCTTGTATCGGCAGCCTTACCCTGAGTGGTTTGAGAGAGTTCCTCTCCCCAATCGGTTCAAAGTTCCGAACTTCTCCAAATTTTCGGGACAAGATGGTGTGTCAACCTATGAGCACATTAGCCGATTTTTAGCTCAGTGCGGTGAAGCATCGGCTGTGGACGCTCTGAGGGTTAGGTTGTTCCGGTTATCTTTGTCTGGATCGGCTTTTACTTGGTTTTCTTCTTTGCCGTATGGGTCGATCAATAGTTGGGCCGATTTGGAGAAGCAATTCCACAGCTATTTCTACAGTGGGGTTCATGAGATGAAGTTATCTGACTTGACGGCGATTAAGCAGCGGCATGATGAACCTGTGCAC